AAAAAACATCGTATATCACAAAGCACTACAATGAAAATAAAACTAATTTTTGTTAATAATTATGTTTCACATGATTAACAATAAAGAGATTACTTACTATTAAATGCCTATATATGTTTTATTTAATTATTTTTTATTCACAACGCCCTATCACCAGGGTGACGGTTCTGTTCAGGAGAATTTTTTGCCCCGACTATAAAATACGTATGAACAAAAAACTGCCACATTACAAATCTTTTTGACAGGACGAAGTCTGTCGGGTCCGATAGTTAACTATAAAAATTGACAAGGATTCAACTAAATCAAAATTTAAATTTTCACTCTCGCCTTCCGAACTCATGTTTGCTACTAATCAAACAAGCGGTATGATCTCAGTTATCTCAAGTTCATGGCATTTGCTTAGTCTCATTTTTATGCATACGAAAACGAGTAGGAGCTCAATCTGTTTGCTTGGACTCATTACTTGAGATTGAGCTCGACAGACTCGACTTGAGCAGGAGCTCACTTTTTATGCATAAGGGCCAATAATTTTTATGCATGCAAAACCCACCTTTTGCTCAAAAAAACGAGTTGAGAAAATGCTCACTTTTTATACATGAGGCCCAAAGTATCTGCAGTTATATTTTTTTCCCCGGGTATATGAACGATGCGAGTACAAAACTGTCAATCGAGATATCTAATTTGACGTGGAGACGAAGAGTCGTGCTTTTTAGTGAAAGCATATGTTAGAGGCTTATGATCGGTCCATATAACAAAATCTCTGCCTTCCACTGCGAAACGAAAATATTTAATGCCAAGGTAAATGGCAAGCAGCTCACGGTCATAGGTGCTATATTTTTTCTGGGCGTTAGAAAGTTTCTTTGAAAAAAAAACCAAAGGCTGAGGTAGCCCATCATTAAGTTGATGTAGAACAGCTCCCACAGCTATATCACGTGCATCGGTACCAGTGGCGGATACACGGGGGGGGTTTTGGGGGTAACCCCCCTTCCCCCCTCAAGTCAAAGAATAATATTTCACTAATATGGGTCTAGAAAAAAGGCTCTTTAGAAGAAAGTATGCGTAATAAAGTTTCAAAACACGAATTTTTAAAATCATATATTCAATATTTCGCTTTATTTATAAAACATTTTGATAATTTTAAACACATTAAATTTTTCTTTTTACTTATAAATCAATGAAACGAAGAATTTTACAATTTTTCGTGGTTTTTTGAAAAATTCTTCTAGAACTTCGTCAACTGAAAAATTTAAATCTTTGTGAATATTCACAGATGCTAGACCATTGAGCCTTTCTTGACATGTTGTATTTCTCAAGTAGGTTTTAATTCTTTTCAGGCATGAAAAGCTTCGTTCAGGTGTGGCTATTGAAACGGGCAAAAGTGCCAATATACGTAAGATCTTAAAAACATTCCCAAAAGACGTTGTATTAGCTACTTGTAATGCTTCGAGAGCATTTCGAAAATGTTCGAGTGAAACTCGTTTTTTCCACATTTTTATTTCCAGAAGAAAGTTTTGTTTCGAGCAGTCGATTACTTTTTCATAGAAAGCAAACAATTCTTCAGTTTTTTTTTTCGTTAAAATCATACTTTAGAAACAAAACACTAAAATTATTTAAAACTGATTTATGGTTTAGGAACCGGCGTTTCAAATGAGCAATATATGTATCAAGGGAGGGAATGTAAAAAGCAATGCGATAGTATGCATCGGCGTCTCCGGTTTTCACATTAAAGCGATTCTTTTGGCGACTGCTGTATCGCGGTACTTTGATTTCTGTACCTAGGTTGGTGCATACTTCTTCTACGTGTTCGAAAAGCAAACGACAGTTTTTTTCTGCATCTTGTCGCATTTCTTCAAATTCCTTTAAAGCGTCGTCGGCTAAGCTCATTGCTTCTGCAAGATCTTCATCAGGTACTTGTAACTGCCGGCTAGCAAAGCAACAACAATTTATAAAAAGCAAATACTTGGCTGTTGTCGCTGTGCTAACAGTTTTTCAAACCCTGATAATTTCTATAGATATTCGCACGATACAAATAATTTTTACGGTATTTTCCCCGTGACAAATAAAAAGTTTTTGACAATTGGAAGAAATACAACTTCGAAAGTTTTTTTAAAACGATTTTTCATTTAGCTACGTTAGAGCCGTTGCCGAGAAACTTATGGATACATATACATATACACAAAAATTGCTCGTTTAACGTAATTAGAATAAGGGGCAAAATTTCCCGCAAACCCCCCCCCCCCCCACTTAGTTCATAAAACGTTGGAAAGTTTGAGCAGCATTACAGAGCCCGAACGTTATATGAGTAAACTCAAAAAGACCAATTGGCGTAATTATCGCTGTCTTCGGAATATCTTGTTCACGGATGAGTATTTGATTATAAGCCCTATCCAAATCTATTTTGCTGAAAATAGACTTGCCATACATAATATTGCTGAAATCCTGGATATGTGGAAGTGGATACTTATCCGGTACTGTTTGTGCGTTCAGTGCACGGTAGTCTCCACAAGGACGCCATGCACCATTTGACTTGCGAACTATATGTAAGAGTGATGCATAAGGACTCTTCGATGGTCTGCAAATAGCAATTTTCATGAGAAAAGCAAATTCTTTCTTGGCCGCTTTAAGCTTCTCATCCGTGAGTCGAGTTCGAGGTTTAGCAGTTACAGGTGCTCCGCGAGTTTCAATCACGTGCATTGTTGATACATCGGATGATGGTGTAGCAATCTTATTCAGCTGTGTAATATCAGAAAAATTTGATAAAATGCCGAATACTTGCATGATGAATCAAATGATTTGATTGATGTTGTTCCTACACCACGAGTATGAAGACAACGTGTCTCTAACTTTGTGAGATTGTCGATCAAACGAGAGTTCTTGACATCGACAAGTATGCCAAAATCATTGAGAAAATTTGCACCGATGATGTTGTGGTTTGTTTGTGCGACAACAAATTTCCATTCGAAAGGCCGACGAAAACCTGAATTAATTGCTAAACTTATGATTCCAAAAGTTCAAATGGCGGTGTTATTCGCTGCGTAAAGTTGAGATGAGGACTTCTTTGCATGTGAAATTTGAAAGGAAGATACACTGACTACGTTAACGTCGGCTCCAGTATCAATTAAAAAAGTATGTCCTGAAGATCGATCCTTATTGAAAAGGCGAATACATGAAGAGGGCGG